TACTGGATATGACAGCTATGGGATGGAGTACACCATTGGTGAATCCTGGGGTCAGTTATTCTGTCCGCTCCTCCCCGCAGGTGCGGGGTGCTCTCTGTCCCCCTCCGTGTGGGATACAAGCTCAGCAGTGGCCTTGGTCTGCATACCAATCCCTGGAAGTAACTCTAAACATGAAGTCTTATCACTGCTACAGCCAGATAGTTTATGAAAATGCTGCTAACTCAGACAGAGCAGTTAATTAGAAGAACTTTAGCTAAAAAATAAAATCGTAGAGCAGAACCAGCTCTATTTACCCCAAACCAGGACACTCCCCCTGGGCAGAGGATCTCACAATGGGTTGATGTCATTCTATGAGTCATGCAGTGGGTCCTTGATTGCCCATTAAACAGAAATAGCTCCTGGGGGCAGTTCTCTGTGAGTCATGGGGCAAGGCATGGATGTGCCCATTAACAGGGAGGAGGACTCCTGCTGGGTGGGAAGGTGTTAACATCTCCCTGGACCTCTTTCCTTATCTGTTGTAGCCTGGGATGTGAGGTCTGTCTTGGGCAGCTGCTACCAATGATTTTGTTAACAGCCCATGAGCACTGACAGAGGATATAGAATACACAGTTTTTGGTTCTACCCACATAAGGATAAACTGGTCCCAGCCCCTGTAACCATGACACTCATCCAAGTTCTGATGTCTGGTGTGGTTTTTTTAGCAGCTAAGGCCAGGCTATTGCAGAGTTCATAATTCTTGCTGTAGTTAAGGTTGGCCTATTAATGCATAAGACATATTTTCAGTCATCTTGCAAAGAAAAGGTTGGATTTTTTGGTTTGAGAAGGTGATTTCCCATATACGAGTTGTGTAAATCTTGTAATGGTGTTTTACTAAAGCTAGCTCGACAGCGGCGATTGCTTAGTTCTTGTGATGTTCTTAAAACAGCACTGTCAATGGAGAAAATATTTGGGGCAAGTTCTGGGACTTTCTCTACATTTGGCCCCTCAGTTTTGGCTCTGCAGCAGAGCTTTTGGGGGGAAAAAAAAACCAAAACAACCAACCCAGATTATTCAGGGAATGAGTTAGTCAGTTTTACTGGCACAAATAATGACAAACCCCCCACCAAAAAAAGCTCAGAGAACACATCAGGATTTAAAAAAAAAAAAAAAAAAGAACCCAAACAAAAAGAACCCCAAAAAAAACCCCAAAAAACCACAACAAGGAACCAACTCAACAACAATATGGTTTTATTTCAGCTGTGCTGTTGGATATGATCTTCAAATCCTGTGTTGCTGATATGCAGTAATGCTTAGTTAAGATTTTGAACAGTCAGTTGTCGTCGGTGGTGCTGTATGTCCAGTGGCTGAGCTGACAGGCTGTGATAATCATTTTCTGTAGGAGACTAAACTGATGGTGAATATTTCTCTGATATGAAAGTAAAATCATTGAAATTATCCTGAAGCTCTGCTGTGTGAGTCTGGAATTAACAAACTGCCCATTTTCACTTGTTTGAAGTATGGCTTGATATTAAAGGGTAGGTTTGTGGTGACTTGAGAAGATCTGGCTGCCATTGCTAAGTGCTCTTGTTGCTCTGCTTGCAGAATCTCCTGCTCAGTCGGTGTCCTCTGGAGTAAGAGCACCATCTCCCACCCCTTCAGCAGTGTCCTTGGGATCAGAAAAACCCAGTAATGTTTCTCAGGACAGAAAAGTTCCTGTTCCAATTGGGACTGAACGATCTGCACGTATTAGACAAACTGGAACTTCTACTCCATCTGTTATTGGAAGTAACTTAGCTGCTCCAGTGGGACATAGTGGGATCTGGTCCTTCGAAGGTATAGGTGGCAATCAAGGTATGTAGCATTGTTAGATGTCCCTGCACTTGCAGTATACCACAATATTGTGTTTTGGAGTTGAAGGACGATGCAGAAGCAAGTGTCGCAAAATGTAGGAGCACTCTTCCCACAGGAGTTGGAGCAGGGACTTCTGTTTGCCATCCTGCCCAGTCAGTTGTGTTTTAACAAGATCTCAGAAAATCTCCAGGGTTCTGAAACACTCTGGCTGTGAAGGTTGGTTATTCAAAGCAAGAAATAACAGCAAGAAATAAACCCACGGGGTTTACAGGGATGAGCTGTGTGAGGATCATTGCTTTTAGGAAGAAGGGAAATGAAGATGTCTCAAGAAAATTTGCTTTCTATTTATCAATAGATTGCTTTGTGTGGTAGGCGTTAATGTTCATCTATCATTTGTAGCCAAGATGGAGCTTTCTGTGCTGAGGACTGTGGAATTTAGATTTTTATGAATCCAATGAGAAATAAATGGGATGTATGCAAACCTTTTTTATACTTCACTAGCAGTCTTCTCCCAATCTGTGTAGTGAGAGGCTATTCATCATTAAGGCCACAGAAATGCAATATTTTTATTTGCATTGCCTAGGTGTGAAAAATGTCCTTTCTGTCTCTTTGCTTTCACAACGCTCCTTGCTTTTTACTTTCTTCAGTTCTTCCAACATTTTGATTTTCAGTTCAGAATGGGATTGGCTGTCCTCTTGCTGACTATTAGAATGGCTTCGGAAGTACTTCTGTATTCTTTTTTTGCCCCTCCAAATATGATTTCCTTATGTTTTATTTTAAAAACTTGGCTTTCTGCATGTCTGAGGCTTGAACTGTAGTAACAACACCAAGCTGCCTTTAATGAATTCATGTCATTAGACCATAAGCACACGTCTCCAGCTGGTCATATTCTGCTTTTGCTTTTCAAAAGTACTTCTCTGTCTCCTAGTTCATTAAATGATTCATGAAAGAATGGTAATGACGTGGAGCAAATAGTCTGCATGGCATACATACCCCTTTCATGGCAGCGAATGCACACGGTTTTGGAGGAGGAGGAGTTGGCACAAATGCCAGCTTTCCCTTTCAAATGAAGGAAGTTTGCGGAGGTGACGCTTTGGCTGAGTGAGGCTGTTCAAAACTCCTCGCGCTGGCTCAGGGTTGTTGCTGCAAGGTAACTCCACGTGCAGGTGCCGTTTCGGATATTCTCCATCCCACATGCCCCAGAGTTTGAGCGGGGGTTGGTGTGCAGGAGCTGCAGGCTGAGCAAATTCCATGTTCAGAAACGTTAGCGTATGGAACTGGAGGGTGGGAAATGGGTGATGGGCGAGTGTAATGCTGTTGCCATGTCTCCTGTGTGGTCAGACAAGGTGGATTGGTGTCACAGCGGGATGGGGAGCCACATGATCCACAGGCCCATGTCGGATCCAGGCGTGTTCTCACACCAAGCCATGGAGAGAGACAGCACGGGAATCGTAACGCCTTCCGGTACATTCCATCAGCCCGTTCCTGCAGGATACATGGACTTCCCAAAAGTCGGGGTAATGACGTTGTTGGGCTCGGAGCGCGCGGTCCTGCACAAGGCACACGAGCTTGTGGAGGTGTCTTGCCCTCTGGGGCTCAGCGTGTGTAAGCTGAGCCACTCCTGCCCCCTCACAGCACTGCAGAAGCCTACAGCCAGTAAAAAACCTTGTCTGTGATGTAATGAACACCTGCATAGAAAGGTTTTTCTTCAGTTGTGGTGCTTTGTTTGTACTTCAAGACTATTTCATACAATCCTAGACTGGTTTGCATTAGAAGAGACCTTTCAAGGTCATCTAGTTAGCCCCAGAGGCTGGATTCTTCAACACATATGCCCTTTTCTCGTGCTGGCTGTGCAGCAGCAGTATTGATGATCCCATACTGATTCTTTTTCCTCCCCTTTAGGGTATGCCTTTTTCTGTGTATGGGAATGCAATGATTCCTCCTGTAGCCCCCATCACAGATGGTACTGGAGGCCCAATATTCAACGGGCCTCATGCTGCTGACCCATCTTGGAACTCACTGATAAAGATGGTTTCGAATTCCACAGAAAATAGTGGGCCTCAGACGGTAATTTTTCAATTTTTATATTCACCATCTTATTTTAACTTAAACTGTGTGTTGCAGATAAAGTCCTGGAGAAGAGAGTTTTACACTGTATATTTTACTCAAAATGATCATGTTTTTTGTCTGTGGAGTTCCATGTTTGGGAAAACACAATTTGTTGTTGGGAGAAAAGACGTTTCTTTGCTGTTAGGTTTTCTTCCCTAAAAAGGTGCAAACAGCATTAGTTCTAAAGGGTTGTTGGTATGGTATCTTCACTGTGGTAGGAGTTCACATAGAATGGGAGTAAGTAGATCTTCTGTCTGCTGCTGTGATCTTGCCTGGATTACAGCAAGGTACAGGGATTATGTTCCCCTAAACCTCTTGTTGGTACTCAGCCAGCAACTAATATTATAACAGTTGATCAGTAGTTCTTGTTAAATTATATCCCATGTTTAATTATACAGTAGAGCTCTGTTACACTATCATTAAATAAAGATATTTCTGGACTTAATTTGTCTGGGAGCCATCCAAGCTACAAACAGCAGGTCCCACCTCTGGCAGACCGTGTGTGCCTGGCGGTCTGTTGTTTGGCCACGGTTCAGGTGCTGCTCTGAAGTGGCTCGTGACTGTTAGGAGCCAATTTCTGCCTCAGTGAGAAAACTGTCACCCGAAGAAGGCTCTGCTTTGTTATGCTTGGTGTTTCCCCAGAGCTGAGGTTGCTGGTTTGTGTTGGGGGAAAATAATTTGAGGTGCTAGAAGTCAAGTTCAAGTCTGAACTTGTGAATGTGAAGAGGAAAGTAATACCTTGCTCTGAAAGCTGGAGCTCCTCAAGCCCTGTCCTTGCAAATAATTCTGCACAGAGTGCTGTTAATTCTTTGTGACAGCAGAGCGGGCTTGTTTAGAAAGGGCACTTATTTCCCTGGGTCTAAAGGGATACATTTTCCCTGTGGAATAGTAAAATAAATATTTCATGAGTGTTGCTGCGATGAAGCCATAAATAGTGTTGGGTTTCTCTTTTTGATTTTGCTGTGAAGGTAAGCTGTCAGGCTGGGTGGAAGTGGAAAGGAGGACTAATACGGGCCCTTTGGCCAAGGTGAAAAAAAATACAGGCAAGAAAGATCAAAATCCTATTTCCTTCTTCCCTCACCTGAATCACAGCAGGATTAAACAAGCACTGACAGAACCTTGGTTTGGTTTGAGGATGGGTTGCCGTGCTGTCTGGTGTTGGGCTTTACTTGGGTGCAGTGAAAACCAAAAGCGTCCTCCTGACTTCTGACAGGCTTCAAGCAGTCCCAAAGCACAGCACTAAACACAGCTTTTCTCTTCCAGGTGTGGACTGGAACCTGGACACCTCACATGAACAGTGTGCATATGAACCAACTGGGCTGACTGGGATCAACTTGCAAGCCTTGAGATTCCTTTTCTCCTGGAGGAGAACACAAATGGCAGAAACAGTTTATGTGCTCCCAGATCATTCTACTGATGTGCTTGACTGAAGTGTGTAGGCTTTTTGCAGAAGAACTTACTAACTGACCTTTTTCTGTGAACATTGTGACCGCCCATTCCCCACCATCATACGTTTCAACTTAGTTAGCCTTTACTCCTTCCTTTCCTTTTTTTTTTTTTTTTTGACATAACTTTCTGTTGAAGCTGTTCTTTGGCTGGTTGGTTTTAGTACTGTAAACTGCTTCTGAGCAAACACAGAAATTTAGCAAAATTATGTAAACTTGATCCTGAAGTTTTAGAATGGCAAATAAATGTACAATTGTTTACATAACAAATGGCTAAGCAGAAAGTAAATTTCAATATGTCAGTATAGAGGCTCTACTTTATGTAGACTTAAATTAATGTGAGATATGTACCTTCATATTCAGAAATCTGGATGTTTCCTTCATACATTAAACTATTAATAAGCATAACTTTTCTACTTGTGTAATTTAAGTATCACAGAATCTCAATGTTAGGGGTTGGAAGTGACCACCAGAGATCATCAACACCAAGATGCAAAAAGGAAGGCAACTTAAAAATCAAATACTGAGTTACCCAGGTATTTATTACTATCTTATGCATTTTACAGCACTTGGCATAACGAGACCACTTAAATGAAAAAAAAAAAAAAAAAAAAAAAAAGGGGGCATTATCAGAGGTCTCTTTCCAAATGTGTCTTGGTTTTCTTTTGAGAAGACATAGATCAGTTGTAACCAGATATTAAGGCTTGTTTCCATTTTTCTCCCATGAAAGGCTTTTCAGCAAAAAGCACCTGAGAAAACAGCCTTTGGGTATGTTCAGAGTTGTCTCCACAGTGACCTCACCCACTTGCCTGGTGAGTGGGGTAAATGTATCACACTGCACCATCTATTAAAAATTGTTCTTAAAGTTGGGTTGATGCAGTGAGATCTGTTCTGTTCCACAAGTGCTCCCAGGGTGTCTGTCCCTCTGGGTCCTTGCTTTGCGTAGAAAAATAATTTCAGAACATTAATCCTTGGTGTCTGTTAGTTCAGGAATGAGAATTTTAAGTTGGAGGTTTAGCAGAGCTTCACTGGTGTCAACTGGCATTTTAAGAGTAAGTGGCAATTTATTTTCATGCAGGACAAGCAATGGCTGATGTGATCTGTTGCTGATTATTCTGCATGGTGGAAGGCCAGGGAAAGCTTTTTTGGGTTTGGTTTTGTTTAGCTGGGTTTTTGTTTTGTTTTTATTCCCCTTTTGTGTCACTTGGAGTCAACCCCTCTGTTGTAAGATGCATTGTAGTGAAGAAATACCATGAATAATTTAAATGGGGTGCAGTAAAGGCTGGAATTTAAGAAGTGGGTCTTGGTTAACCCACTGGCTGGGGTTAGACTAAGACAAAGTGCTATTTTAGTTTTCATTATGGTAACCCTTTGGAAGCCAGAAGAACAAAACAACCACTTCTCCAAAGAAACCTACTGCCTATTAAACAGTGTGATTATTTCTGAGATGTCCAGAAGGTTAGTGCATACTGTTGTTCATATGCATGTCCCCACTCCATGATGCTGCAAATAACAGGAAGCTCCTTTCCAGCTGTCTGATAACCTGAAATACACTGTAAAGAACTGGTGGTAGCAAAAGGGAGACGAAACTGAAAAAGTGCTAAGGAAAAGGATTGAAACTCCATTTTGGCACCCTCCTACTGCCCTTCCAGTCTTCTGTGTAACCTTTTGCCCTCTGTGAGAAGTTTTTTTGCTTAAAGCTTCAGTGCTATTTAGGGTTATTTGCATTGTTAAGATGCCTGTTTGGCATCAGGCTCCTTCAGTGAAATCTGGGGGGATTTGGAAATCTGTATGAGGCACATAATTATTTTTTCACTCAGATACTTTTTTAGGTATTTCAGATATAATGCTTTTGGCTGGATCAATTAAAAAAGGGACCTAGGACTCTGGTACATTATGTTTATTTAAGAAAAAGGAACAAAACTGCACGGAGAGGTTAGAACTGTGTATTGTGAGGATCCTCCCGAGGACATAGTGGAGCTGCCAGGAGCTGCAGGTGTGATCTAGGGGCTCTCTGTACTTCTCCTTGCCGCGGAATAGACAGGTAGACACCGCTCACAACCCGCCAGGAGCCACAGCGGTTTGCAACGACCTCGCCGTTGCTAACTGGAGTTGTTAAGTGCCTGGAAGCACCTCTTGCCGCCCTTGCCCTTCCTTTTGCCCTCAGTTAAGATGGCCGCGGTGGGACCGCGTGTGGGCTGCGCACTGTGCGCAGGCCCGCCCTCCCCCCCGC